AAAAATTGACACGGCCAAAATTGGTCACAACAGCCAAAATTGACAATGGTCAAAATTGATGGTTAAAACTGATGGCAAACATTTGCAGTCACTTTCCCTGCTGCATCAAGGAAATTAAGAAAGATAAACAAGCACAAAATCTTGAAATTAGAATGAATTTTCATCTCTGCATTAGCTATTGGTTTTTGAATTTCACTGTTGGTGCTGCACTACCAGAATTGATATGGCTGAAGTAGCTGCTCTTTATGATTCTCTTGTGCCCATCACTCCTGTTCCAGCTGTGCATGTTGACATATCTGTTCAAATTCTCTATCAACAACCCATATAAGTAACTCAGCTCTTGAGAGGATCTGTCTCATGGTCACCAGCTCTTGATCTTCTTCTTCAGTCATGGGCATTCCATCCTCTGAGTCCTCATCAGAGTCAATGTTATAGATGTCTGGGATTGACTGGATGCCAGCCATCTCTAGAGACACTTCTAGTGTCTTTTCTCTTCTTGCCTTCTGCTGTTGGTCCATCATTGCCTGCACAAAAGGCTATTTGAAGTGGAAGGGAGTGGTTGAACCAGGAAGTTGGTGCTTGAAGTAGTATCTGTTTCTTCAGAAATAATAAAGATACTCTGCCTTATATTCATTCTGTCTTCATTTCCTGAAGCTGGCTTCAAAGAACCAGCATGGTGTTTTCTTTTGATATCTCAGATACTGCTTGATTGTGGCTGAGTGCTCATCTTTAGTGAGTGGCCAGACTGAGGCCATCACAACAAAATAGATGAAGGAATGACACAGTGGGCAACATTCTCTGTTTTTCAGCAGATTGTTGTCTGATATCCAGAGCAATCCATTCTTGTCCTGTTCTTAAATGATTGTGATGCACTCTGTGGGCCTCCATCAGTATCAGTATTGCAACAAGCACATCACTAAACAGAGTCTCTTATCTGGACAAATGCAATGGATGCAGTTTGATAGCACTGGAAAGATTATGAGTATTGTTGTCTTCCTGCAGACAGAACACTCATACATGTGGTCTAGCTCTGTGCTGCAGTCAGCCATGATCAAGAAAATTGCCACAGAATAGGACTCTTGAGCTTATATCTTTGCTATACTCATCCTGCAGGGCACATCTCTTTTCTGCTGGAACATGTTCAAACCAGCATTTTGTTCCTCAAATGCAGTTTTCTCTCAGCCAGAACTTGCAGTGGGCTATCTCCTTTTTTTTAATTTTACTTGGGGTGTCATCTCCAGATGCTTGTGTTGACAGGCTGTGCTGAAACTTACAGCAATCATCAAACTGGCATTTTCCATGAATCCAGTATCTGCAGCTCATGCTGCTTGGCTGCACTGCCTGGGCAGGCAGGCACTTAGTGAGGCAATGAAAATGTGATAGAAGATGGATCAGCAGTGGTTGACAAGATATTGTGGGGCAGGCCTTGGATGGCTTTTTGACATGTAGAATTGAGGACAGACTGAGAAGCAAAAATAATGATGAGTCACCAATTACAGTAAATGGCATTCATCATGAGGGTTCAATGTGATCATGGGGTCAGAGGGATTCTGTAATGTTTACATTCACTTCACATCAACATTTTGCTTCAGGCTTTGCTTCTCACCCACAACATTTCTGATTCTGACAACCTTCTCAACCACAATTGCATTGACTTTGAAATCTCTTGATTATTCCTCCCAGTATTCAATAGCTGCATTGTAAGTTCAGCATCACCCACTTAAGCATCATAAGACACTGAGATCAGAGCTGACTGAACATCTGAAGATGCTGAATCACTGTCAAGAACCATCATGAGAGATTGAGCAGCTGTCCAGCATCAAGAATCATATGTCATAAAGTCAAGGTCCTGCTTCATTTTGGAAAGATAGTGAAATTCAAAAAGATTTGCTGTGCCACTGTCTGATTTCTGCATGACATCAGATCAAGAAATACTGACATGATATTCCTCCCAGTACAATGTGATAACAATGAATGAGACTCATGTTAAAGCTATGCTTGGCTTGACAGTGGAGGAGCTACTTGATCTGAAAAAGATCATGCAAAAGCTTCATGACAAGAAGATCCAGGGCCTTCTCCATCAAGTGGTAGCTAAGAGGGTGCTGAAGGAGAGCTGGATTACTGTAGTGAAGTACACCATTTCTCAAGAGAGCTTTGGCAACAAGATCCTGCAGGCCTGGGAGAGTGAGTCTAACTGTGAGAATGTCTGTGGAGTGCTTGTGTGGCTTATTGTGCAGGTCCAGTACCAGAAAACAAGGCAACAGTAATATGGCATTCAGCAAGATTCATCCCTCAAGCCTGCAAGCCCCTGGATTTCCTTATCAATATCTGTTCAGCAGCTATTGTTGGCTACAGCTGCCTCCAGATCAACATCTTTCCTCTCTGCACTTGAGTCTCTTGAGACCTGTCCCACTATATCAAGCACTCTGTAGTATGTGCTGGGTTTGGCCAAGTCTCTGATGCTGGCAGCCAAAGAACTCTATCAAGCCATTATTTTCACCAGAAACACAGTCTCTGGCTGTATGTTGGTCTGCCAGGTTAATGAATTACCATCACATCACATGTTAGACAGGCAGGAAACACTCTTCAAGAAGGATTGGACAGAGTGACAGAGTATTCTGATTACTGACTGTAAATTTCATTGCAACTCTCAGATTATCAAGAGCCTGGATGAGCAGATCACCATCATCAACAAGTAACTGTAACAATCAGTATGTGTGATGCAGCTGGAGGAGATTCTGAGTAAAGAAACAGATGAATCTCTGACCCTCAACTTTGTGATTACTGCCTGGAACACAGAGTCCACCCATACCTGTGAAATTCAAAAAAGATGAATTGTGTCAGTCACCAGCTCCAACAATGATGGGAACATGTCTGAAGGCCCAGAGACAGAGTTCTTAGATAGTGATGGGCATCATGATATGCCTGTAACCTGCTGATGCTGGATCATCACATGCTTGCCATCTTCTGCATCCATACTGTCTTTCTCTCATCCCCTCTCTCAACACAATCAAGACAGCCCCCAGAACAGCATGCACGTGGACACAACTGTTGATGAGTCACATTGTGACTGTAAGAATGGCTTCAATGGAATTGATAGCATGGCTAGCCATCCAGACACTTCAATGGACTTGGACACTGTAATAGATCCACCAAACACAGGCACTATCCCCACTGCCTCTACTGAAGCTCAGGATCCTCAAGATGGCCTGATCCAGCCAGTTTCAAGAACAACATCAGCATCAATCAAGGACAGTGAAATTCAAAATGAATACCTGCCAGCTTCACCCAGTGAAATTCAAAAAGAGGGCCCACCAACCCTACTTCATGAAATTCAACAAGAAATTGATAGCATGGCCAACCACCCAGACACTCTAATGGACTTGGACACTGTAATAGATCCACCAAACCCAGATGCTGTCTCCACTGCCTCCATCAAAGTCCAGGATCCTCAAGATGGCCTGACCCAGATCAGAGATGACTGTGAATGTGACTCCACACCTGCACATATTATGGTTGAGTGGCTGGTTTCAAGAACAACATCAGCACTAACCAAGGACAGTGAAATTCAAAATGAATACCTGCCAGCTTCATCCAGTGAAATTCAAAAAGAGGGCCCACCAACACTATCCTGTGAAATTCAACAAGAGCACTGCTCTCCAGATGTTGAGATGATTGATGATGATGACACTTTACTCTTGGACACAGGTTATGAGTTTCTTGACAAGATGACATAACTGGAACCTGAGCTACAAACCAGTGACAAGAGCAACACTGAGCAAGTTGACCTGGCAGAACTCATCAAGCCTGGCAGATTTTGATGTGAGCAGATGAACAGCCAAACATAATGGGATTTCACCAGTTTCTTCATGCTCCCACAGAATGAAAATGATGGCACAGATTCAATCAGAAAGATTCTTATCCATGGCATGCTGCAAGACATCTCACCCCACCAGCTTTACTGCACATTCTGGATGCTTCTCAAGAATCAAGAGTTAGAGCAAGGTGGATTCATTGCTGACAAGATGGGAATTGGCAAAATCATGAAGGTGATATTGTACTTTGTTCTGAGTGCCTGAATCATCTACAACTGCCTGCACATCAAACAGTGCTGTAAGAATCCTGCAATGGCCAACAAGCATCTTCCTGCAGTCATAGACACAGAAGAAGAACACAAGGATTCAAAGCAGCATCATCTAAGATGTCTCTCTCAGAATATGTTTCCCATTCTGTGTGGCTGTATTCCAGATGGAATGACTGCATGCTGTCTGAGTCAACTGCTGTGAGGTGCAATGCTGGTGATAGTGCTCAAAGGTCTTCTTCTTCCCTGGACAAGAGAGTGGGCCAACTCTATCCCCTGTGATTCAGAGAACTGTCTGAAACTGAATCTCTTCATTAACCATGGAGACTTAACTTCCACAAAGATTGGCAACTTGGGCCATGTGTTTATACAGACCATACAGCATATGATGCTGAGACAACATGATCTGGATCTCTAGCAGGATTATTGGTATATATTCCTGATCATGCCAGACTCACTCTCCAGCTGTATGATGATACTCCTCTGTGACATTCAGAAACAAGATGTCCAGCAATTGTGATGGCAAGCTGTGATCTGAGATGAATGCCACCAGAAGAAGGGCTTTGACAGCAAGATTATCAGGCAGTTTTGAGAGATTAATGCAGCTACAGGGAAGCAAGACTATGCTCCAGCCACCTGGCTGCTCTCTGGGACACTGTATGATAAAGAACTGACAGACATGCTCTCCTGAATGATGATACTGGCCTCTGATGAATGGGGTAATGATGCCAGACTGTAATTTGTCAAACCCAATCAATGAAAGACTCTCTTAGTCAAAGTGCAGCTACTGATCAGCAAGAAGCAGCTGTCCAGAACAGAACAGATTGAGTTCTGGTCAGCAGCACACTAGTTTGATCAGATGCTTGAGTGTCTGATGATCTGCTGCACCACTGAGACAAGTTGGTTTGACAAATCCATCATGAAGCTGCCCCACAATCACTATCATGATGTTCTCTGCAGCCTAGAGCCCAAGGTCAGAGATGAGCTCCAGCAGCATGAGCAGTGTGAAATTCAAAAACTAAAAGATAGCTACATGAGAAGCCTGCAGGAATGGAAGAAGCACAGTCAAGAATCTAAATCTGAGCTTTCCAGCCAGACCTTTTTCAAGAAGTCACACATAAACTGGATCATTGTCATCTTTCCAGCCCTTCTGGATCTCATAAAGACTGAGCAATGCAAGCTCAAGCTCACCAATGAGAAGATGATGGAGAATGGGTGGCATGCTGGTGGGGACAAGAAGACACTGTACATTCATGCAATTAATACCCTGGCTAATTCCAGCTTCAAGTATCATGTGATTCAACACATCCTGCAGGGCATGGGGAGAGACTATTGTGGGTGCCCAGAGAAGATTGTTATTCTGACAGAATTCTTCTGCATGGTTTACATACTTGAGATGATAGATTACCACATTCTCTTTTCTTGTGTTTTCTTCCCTGGCTAACTTTCCATACAGTGGCTGCAGAAGCAAGGCTACTGTGTTGCAGCAGTCTATAGCAGTATGAGTGTTGAGGACTGAGACATGTGCATCAACACCTTCAATCAGAACCTGCTACTGTCTGAAGATGAGACTGATGCCAGTCCAGGTATTCTGATCAGCATTCTGAAGATTCTAGACATGAGCTACACCTGTGTTTGTGTCTTCTGACTTATCCTGCTGAGCCTGAGCTGGTTGGAGAGGGATGAGGCTCAGGGCAAGGCATGCATCTGTTGCTATGGGCAGATGAACAAGATCATGTACACCTACTGCCTGGTGTGCAGAGATGTCCAGGTCAAAAGCAACATTCTTGACTGGCAGGCAATGTGGAAGAGTTTTAATGAACTGGTGATATTGCTGCAGAGAGAGGCTGGCATAGTTCAAGATATGATTGATCTGGATACAGTATGAGGCCTGGCATGACTGTGTGGCTGTGAAATTTAAAAAGAAACACCCAAGAACCATGCAGCACTTCTGTCAAGATGCCTGGATATCATTAGAAATATATGGAACAACCATGACTGTTTGTTCTAGATAATTCATTCTGCAGAGTTGAATAGATCAGTAGTTAGATCCAATCAAAGCAATTTCAGCTGAAAGCCATCCATCATATCTCCCACTATAGTCATGTTGATGCTGAATACTCAGTGGTCAGATGCACCAATGAGCCTTCAGCCTGGTGATGGTGCAACTGGCTAATATTAGCACTCTACCAAATTTGTGCCAGCATATTCTCTGATGCCATCAACTATTGATATGGTGCCTGTGGCCTTTCATCCAAGAAGGAGGATTCTCTTGCCCAGAGATGTATATGATGTGTCATGACATGCCAATGCTGAGTCTCTTTTTCCAGCCTGGAGCTTGAGACACTGCTGAAGCTTCACAGTCTTTAAGCATGGTGTGGCAGAATATCTGAACATGTTTGATTTGGGTTACTTATGATGATACTAGCTCTCCTCAATCAATCCTAACTGCTGATGTTAGCCATCAACAACAGCTAACACTAATATCAACTGGAACACAGTTCCTCCAAAGAATGAGGCTGCAGACTATTGGCTGTGAGTGTTGACCACCAATTTCTACCATCAATTTTCATTGTTGTCAATTTTGACTGCTGGTTTTCAATAAGCTGAACCTGTTGCGGATGCACAAGATGTGTTTTAACCATTGAGTTTGGTTGGCAAGTTTCACTGTTGTCAGTTGTGGCCATTGAATTTGACCATCAATTTTTACTGTCATCAATTTTTACAGTCAATTTTTACTGTTGTCAATTTTCACTGTCAATTTTTACTGTCAATTTTGGTGTTGTCAATTTTGACTGCTGTGACCAATTTTGGCTGGTGTCAATTTTGGCTGTCATCAATTTTGACCGTCAATTTTGGTGTTGTCAATTTTGACTGTCAATTTTGGCGTTGTCAATTTTGACCGTCAATTTTGACTGTTGTCAATTTTGGTGTTGTCAATTTTGACTGTCAATTTTGGTGTTGTCAATTTTTACTGTCAATTTTTACTGTTGTCAATTTTCACCGTCAATTTTTACTGTCAATTTTGGTGTCGTCAATTTTGACCGCCGTGACCAATTTTGGCTGTTGTCAATTTTGGCTGTCGTCAATTTTGGCTGTCGTCAATTTTGACTGTCAATTTTGGTGTTGTCAATTTTGACTGTCAATTTTGGCGTCGTCAATTTTGACCGCCGTGACCAATTTTGGCTGTCAATTTTGATGATGTCAATTTTTACTGTCGTCAATTTTGACAGTCAATTTTGACTGTTGTCAATTTTGACTGTTGTCAATTTTGGCTGTCAATTTTGACAACGTCAATTTTTACTGTTGTCAATTTTGACAGTCAATTTTGACTGTTGTCAATTTTGACCGTCATCAATTTTGACCGTCAATTTTTACCGTCAATTTTGACTGTTGTCAATTTTCACTGTCAATTTTGACTGCCGTGACCAATTTTGGCTGTCAATTTTGGTGTCGTCAATTCTGACTGTCAATTTTAGCGTCGTCAATTTTTACTGTCGTCAATTTTGACTGTCAATTTTGACCGCCGTGACCAATTTTGCCGTCGTCAATTTTGACTGTCAATTTTGGTGTTGTCAATTTTGACCGTCAATTTTGGTGTCGTCAATTCTGACTGTCAATTTTAGCGTCGTCAATTTTTACTGTCGTCAATTTTGACTGTCAATTTTGACCGCCGTGACCAATTTTGCCGTTGTCAATTTTGACTGTCAATTTTGACCGCCGTGACCAATTTTGCTGTCATCAATTTTGACCGTCAATTTTGACTGTCAATTTTGACTGTCGTCAATTTTTACTGTCAATTTTGGCGTTGTCAATTTTGACCATCAATTTTGGTGTTGTCAATTCTGACCATCAATTTTGGTGTTGTCAATTTTGACCATCATCAATTTTTACTGTCAATTTTGGCGTTGTCAATTTTGACTGTCAATTTTTACTGTCAATTTTGGTGTCATCAATTTTGACCATTGTCAATTTTGACCATCAATTTTGGTGTCATCAATTTTGACCATTGTCAATTTTTACTGTCAATTTTGACCGTCAATTTTTACTGTCAATT